ACTACCCACCATCGACCACTTCACTTCGCTTCGTTGCTTCAATCCCTCTTCCACAGCTTCGCTTCTTCCATTCTCTCTCTCTGCTCCTCTGCTCCCTCAGCTCTCTCTCTCTCTCTCTGCTCCTCTGCCACTTTATTCAATTTTCCAAAGCGAGCGCACATCCCCATTCCATCAACCCATCCACCTACAGTGTGCTCACGAGGCTAATGCCCTTTTATGGCTTTGGAGTGTGCCGCATCAGCAAAAGCAAAGTTGCAGCAGCAGCCAAGCCAGCTCCTAACCATCGTACGAACAAGACCATTAGATGCGGCACACAGCTTCATCCTCGACTCTGATTCGTGAGGCTGCAGCTCATTATACGAGTACACCATCCCCTGAGCGTTGAAAGCAAGCACAGAGACTTGTCTCTAAATATGTTTCACATTTGCATCATCATCATCATCGTCATCATCCTCATCGTGGGAGTCTGTCTGTTGCCTGGGGCTGATGCACCACAGAAATCAACGCCAAGTGTTGTACCAAATCAGTGTCATTGGTTTTACTAAACATTTTCTCTGCTTTTAGGTTATCTTTATTACATTTGAATTGTTTATTCAGAGAAGTTGGTACAGGTTGCCCGATCTTCTTTAACACGCACCACCGCATTTTCGGATATGTTGTTGACCCTCAGGATCTCCAAAGCCCTTTTAAAGGTGACAAAAGTGGGTTTCTTATTTCGTGTATGGATCCGAAAGACCACTGCAACAGATTCAGGATATAAGATGGCATTTTCCAGCGTTAATACTCACTCAAAAATGAATCGCCATCTTTCTCGCATCTGTACAGAACAAAAAACTTGTCGTTATCCGTAGAAATTACATGCTCTTCCATGGCGGATCGGGCAACGATTCGGGGCAAAGTTTCTATTAAACATAATGGAAGTCAGTCTATGTCCAATTGAATCAGGGAATATTTCAACGAAGAGTACCTTGGACACACTTGTCCCTGTCTTTGCGCCGAATCTGTCCAAGGGGCGGTGTAAGGGCAGTCAAAAACCAGTTGCCATTTAGCTTAAATTAGGATAAAGTAAAGCTGCAATTTTTAGATGATCATTTTCTTACCTTATTCGAGTCGATCAATGCCACATCTCTGCGCAACAATTTTGGACACTCGACAACCTTTAGCATTGGTAATATTTCATTGTTTATCATGTCCTTCATCTGATTGTACTTTCTTATATAGGCGGAATTCGGTGAGCCATGTTTTTTGCCGTTCACCACATGAAATGAACAAAATCCCAGGCAAGCCAGAACCAATAATGTGCTAAAAAAAAACGTTTCTTGAGTATCTGCTGATGTGGTTGGGTATATTTCAACTTACATTTCCGGATACATTAGCATGTTCTTTACTGAAGGGCTGTCTCGGTTATGAGCTCATATCGAATTGGGATTTGTTATGGCTTTTGATCTTTAACTGGTATGATTATGTTTAGCATTAGACACACTATTTTCTGGGGATCTGCATTCAATTGTATCCAATTGAATTTATGGGGTGAACTACAACGAATTCTTGCATTACATTTGAATACAATTCCATCATTTCAATCCTACGATATCCAGCCATTTCTTAGTTACCAGTAATAATCCTCGCTTCACTTTAATTCTTCAGGTTTTCCATTATTTAAACGCTCAATTAGCTTTATGTTTAACCAATTTGTTAATCTCCACGGGCATTTAAACTAAACTTGCTAACGACTTCTACTCGAAATACATAATTTTTGATGGAATGTGCGAGTCTGCATTTTGAGAATCTCATCGAAACCAAACTGGATTTCGAGTCTACATGCGTTGGCCAGCCGCCTAAGCCCACATAAATACTGGCTTACGTATGTTCGCTTATTTTCTGTATAGAACCTTAGCGAGTGTCATAAAAACTGAAATTGCCCAAGCACTCTGGCCATATATGTATATGACTGCCTGTCAAAATTAACATTTCAGTCACACAATGACCTTCACCTAGAAGCCATCAAATCGTACCCAAGCGGCGGCCCAGCCCGGGCTCGGTCGGAAACCAAAACCAAACCAAAACCAAAGCCAAAGCCAAAACCAACTTCAACTTGACGACCAAAAAATATAAAGTAAAGCCAATCCAAATAACCAGACAAAGCCAGAGCAGATCCAATGCTGGCCTGCTCGCTGCCTGCCTTTTGCTCAGTCGGTCGCGTAATTTTGCTTTTGGAGCTACTTGATTAGCACGCTCTGAGCCATGTTTAAACGTGGGCTGTTTAACCAAACGGCAGCCCAGACCAGACACCGACCGACCACCAACCGACCAACAGACCAACAATATTGCGAACAGAATTCGACTAAAGACCACACTAAAGACTTTGAGGCAAACAAAAAAAAAACGTGCGAGTACGTGACGCTGATTAGTAAAACAAACAAATTAAATTGGTTTCTGTTTTTGCTGGATCTCTTCGGGTTACGTCTCTCGGTCCGTCGCTCTTCTGTAGAGCTTGTGGCTAAGAGCTAGGCAAAAGAGAGGCACGGCTACGAAAGAGATGTGTAAAGAGTTCAAAGAGAACTATGACAGAGCTCAACAAAGAGAAATTCAAGTTTTACGTACATGCTCGTATTTGGTCGCCCTTTTGTTCGGTTTCTTTGACTAGTTTTGGAGGTGAAAACCGTTCATAGAACACATGTGAAAATATTTAATTATTTGCATACAATACAATTATATTCTTTCTTTCTTTTCTTTTTAACTTATAAAATAGGAGCGGCAAACTTCGATTAGGAAGAGCGACGACAAGAGTTTTAAACAATTTAAATTAGGTTCCTCAAATATTTGTCTCCACAAAGAAACAGCCTTGAAAATTGGCAATTATATCTTTATTCAACAGGTTTAGAGATTTCAAACCAAATCCGAAAACAACTTATGTTCTGGGAACTACAAAATTGACAAATAAAAAACAAATTTCTTTTCAAAGTTAAAGAAAACCAAAAGAAAATCCAACAGCTTGAAGTTTGCTCCATTCCACTTGCATTTTCTTTAACCAAACGTAACCACAATGATTACTAAATTGACTAAAAGATTAACTCTTTTGACCATCAAGGTTCAGTTGAGATTGCTTTGATCTCCAGCTACTGGTCTTGGCTTGACTTATAAGCAGGCGGCAGGCACCTGTTGCTCATTGAAATGAGAATTCAAATGAATATTTATATAAGAGTTGTTGGCTACCATGGGACTGGGACTGGAACTGTGATTGGATTGCATTGTGATGAGGAGAATCAAACGTCTGGCGCATTCTTGGCTTTATGGCATGTGGCATGGTCTGCCAGAGGAGAGGCAGAAACGAGGAGGGTTTGTCGTAGTCAATCCAAGCCAAATCAATATGCAGGCCGCGGCTTTGACTCAATTCTTATTTTGTGCGAGACGTCATTAAAAACCGCAGAAGTTTTGGGGTGGAGGGGATTTAACTTGGGCTAAGCCCATTACTGGACACCAGGTTGGGTAGCCAGGCTGTCCCCCGGCCGATGCTACTGCCGGCTGCATTGTTCTCCATGGCGTTCTTAACGAGCGCAGCATGCAAAACAAGGCCCAAGACGCCATTTGGCCAACAGAGAGAGACACTCAGCCGAGAATCGCAGAATCGTTTTTATGGTCGATGCGCTCTGTGCATGATAATCAACGGGCTTTGGGTGACTCTGTCTGACTCTGAGTGGTTCTGTTGCTGGTACTGCTCCCTGGTACTGGATGATTGTGCGCACGCGCTCATAATCAAAGAGTCTGCCCCCTGCCCCGTGCCCCCTGCTCTCTGAGCACTGGCACTGGCACTTTATGATGGATGGAGCGTTGGCAAGTGATTCGCCTTGACGTTGATGCCCCATCAAGGAAAATTATTGCGTGCGCGCAATTAAAACTAAAATAAAGTTGCAAAAATATGAATCCAAAAACATTTGCATCAGCTCAAACACTGGACAATGCATTCATTCCCTTCAGCCGGATGAGTCACGTGTTAACTGTCAGGCCAAGTCCCTGAATTGATTTATACTTCCATGCCAAAGTTTTGGGTTTTGGGAACAAGCGTCAGTGTGAAATTTTACATATTTACCTTTCTTTTAACTATCTGTTCTATATTTTTGAAAGTATATCAGTTTGGTTAGACAGCAAATAAAAAATAAAAAAAGTTTCCTATCAACGTTTACTCGTTCCATTCTCTTGCCAATTCAACTACAGTTGGGTTAAATGTTTTCAAACAGATTCAACTGTTTAAATTGGCTTTTGTGTTTAAATATCGTTTTATTTCAACCATTTTGTTTGAGTGATTAATCCCCGCATGTTTCGTATTTACTCGTGTGTGTTGTACAATCAGATTTTATGTTGAAATTTTGACATTCATCAACTGCTGAACCAATTTTTTGTATGTTGTCTCCCCTTTTGCGTTAACTTTTCAGGTACTTCTCTTTTTCATACGTATGTGTCATGCATTGAAAAAATGTTTCTTTTATTTTGAGAGCGGAAGCTGGTGTCGTTCCACGGACAACCGCCTGGACTCTGGCGCTTAACAGCGACATTGCTGACATATCTGGACAGTTGGATCGCAGCGTCTCGTGTCGCGGTGCAATATTGATGGCAGTTCCATTCTGTGTTGGGTCTTTCTGTCCGGGAATTGGTGTTTATTTGCCGGATTCTCTTTTGAATTTATGGCCAAGCTCTGGGAGCATCGTTAGGCGCAGTGCCAGTGGAAGAACTGACTGACAAACAAGCCTAAAATGTTGTCAGCGATATGTGCAAAAGTATATGTAAATGTATATGTTCCGCCAAAGTGTCCAACATAATTTATTTAGAGCATTATATTAGTTTTGGCTGGCGGGTGTGGTGTTTAAAAAGTGGAATTCTAGGTAGCAAACGAAGGGAGACATTTATGTATTCAAATAAATAATTTAATTGAATAACATGAACATTTTAAGCTTTCTCTGCGTCTGCGTCTTCCCAAACTCTCTTACACTTGATAGCAGGGGTCAGAAGTATCCGCCAAAGTTCGTACTGTTCGTGTGGCTTGATTTCGTGGATGCTAATCGCGTTGCGGACGCTGCACGGTAATAATGGGATGTGAACATTGCGAAATTTTGCAGCGTGCACTCTACTAATATTCAATCTCTCGGCCATTATGCCCGTGATAAAGATATCCTCCTGTGGAAAGTAAGAAGAACTGAGCGATTGCATGTAAAGCTCATGTACAACGTCTCCGGTGAGGAGGTAAGCTACTCCGGTGGCATACTTTGGGAACTTGGGCTCGCTACTTCGATCAGACTGCTGCCCATCCACCACGCGACCATATATGGTTCGCTTATCCTTGTGCCCGTCTATGAATTCAAGCAGTCTAGGAACATTAATGAACATATCGTCGTCGGTCTTTAGGATGTACTTCGCATGAGGACAGTGCGCATCTACCCATTCCAGCGACGATATCGTCTTTAGAGTGAGATTGAAGTACGAGTCTATGAAGTGTCCACGTATCATATCGCCATACATATAATTCTCCTTATTAAGAGCCTTGTTTAGTTTCCAATCCTCTGAGCGGCCAAGGACAAAGGCCATGCCCACATCTCGCCTGCTTGCATAGTGCATCCAGGTCTGTCGGATGGACATTCTCTCCATAAAGTGGAACTGGGCTGAGGTGATCAGAATGAGCAGCTTTACAAATATTCCCCCGTCCTTGCATATCCTCTGGCTATCAATCCCTTTCTTGAGATGGCCAGGCTCGTAGAGGGTAATTGTAAGCACAGGATGCACAAGTATTTCGGCTGCAGCATTTGGTTCTTGTAAGCTGCTAATGTCATTAAATGTACTTCCACAAGGCACAGCCACAGCTCTGTGCGATTTACTCTCATGATTGCTTCTGCTGTTGCCTGAAAATGATATGTGAGCCATCGAAAAACCTCCAACGGTAGACATCGCTGATGCCGAGAACGAGGTGTAAATGATGATATATATGGTAGTGAGAATGACAGAACTTAAAATCATATAAAACTTCCATCTGTTGGTGCTTAGATTTCTCATGACAGTTTCTCAGGAAGTTTCGGCAGTGGAAACGTTTTTTTCTGGGCACACTTGGCTCTGCATATTTTCAATCAAATTTATAAAATAGGATAGGTTTTTCTCTGGCTAATTTCTAGATATTGTCTAGCTAATTCTAGCTAATGTTATACAAAATGTATTTTAAATATATCCGACTATTTGATTATTAAATATTCCTCTTTCTTTTATTATTGCTTCACTGATTGTTGCAGCATTGATTCGTGTTCATGTGGCACATTCGTTTCTATTATTCAACTTTTAAGTGATTGAAATGCCAGAGATCCCTTTTTCCCAGAAATCAATTCCATAATAAAATCCCCTCAACAGCAAAAAATCTACATACTTAAACACATACGAGTGCGAGTATCTACAAGCAATCAAATTATAGAGCATTTTGGGGCAGTTTTTGTAGTCAATATTTCATATATTATTATCGATTTTATACCCAAGTACACACGGACAAAGGCAAGTGGCACAATCGTAACACATTCTGGCCCGGCTTGGCCACTAAAGATGAATATCTGACAAAACATATTGCCGCAGTAACAATATTTTGGTTTTCAGGCCAAACTTCACGGAATCACTGGCTCAATGACTGACTGACAGACTGACTGACATCAAAATGCGATGGAGAATACATGTCTGTACGTAGGAGCATGTACATGGGGAGGCTGTTTATCGGACAGACATCAGAGAGCAGGCCTTAGTTTCGCCAGAGGCCCGCGGGGCAAGCACGCGTTCTCCAAATATTTATGAGCCGCAACAAACAGAAGGAGGAGTACGAGTACGAGTACAAGCAGGAAGGTATGGGATGGATTGGATTGGGGGAATTTTGGGAAGTGATTTACCGACTGAGCTTCAAGTAGCCGAAGCAGCTGTCAATCAGCCTCCACTTTGAGCCTATAAAAACGTCTGCAGTTTAGCGGTAAAGCAAAATCAAAAAGTAAAAGTGGCTTACGGTACTCGTAAAACAATCCAACAACAAGAATTTCATCCATACAATATCATCATCAGCACAGATACAGCCACAGCAGCCACACAGACCCAGTGCCGCACCCAATATAAACCATAACCAAAAATCTGAAATGGAGACGCGTCCGTCCGATTTCAGGATTGAGTGTACAAAGACAATTAGTGACCTCAAAAACGTTTTGCAGCTAAAGATTTTCTTGCTGTATTTTTATGAGCGATATTGCAAACCAACCAACAACAACAACAAACGTATTGTCTGCTGCATTTAGTTAATGAGATCTTAAACATTGACGGGCTGGATTTTCACTTCAACAGGCGCTGGCTGGGGCGCAAACAAAACGTGATCGGCCGCAGCCTCAAAAGGCCCTCACTAGGGTATTCCATAGTCCATTTACTCCCTTGTGGAATTCATACTTATTTGTAGGTGTGGTTTTTTGGGCTCCTTTTTTGGTTACCCAAAGAATGGTCATCGAAATTTGTGTATTGGTCACGCTGGCAATTTCTACCTGGCCACAAAATTTTTATTTACCTTTACTCGTATATACTTTTTATTTTGCAGACCTTCAGAGAGGCCTAACGCAAATAAAATCCCCAAGCAAATTGATGTCTCTTTTTTTGGTGTTTCGGTTTCTTTTTTTTTGTTTTGGTTTTTGTATTTTTTGAATAACACGAAACGAAACTGTCAATTGATGTCTTCGGCGCCGGACGAGGCGGCTTTTGGTATTTCCTTGGAATTATCTTAATGTGAAATCTTGAACTATGTTTGGGGCATGGTCACAAGGGCCAGGCCAGGCCCAGGCCCAGACCAGGCCAGCCAATCCATACCTAAGACAATTTTTAATGGATTTCGGTCTTGACATGACATGTCCGAAATGTCTTAAGGCGCATTTAATTGCAAAGTTTTGTAACATCTCTGAGCAGAGACATCTCTGGCGAGCCAGCCAGCCAGCACACCCATTCATGTCCAATCTATAACTAAATATCTAACATTTTCCTCGACAAACTTAAAGCCATTTCGTTGGGGTTCTTATCTTCGCTCTGTGCATGGCCACTCCTTAAATTCTCTATTATGCTGATTTTTCTGTGAGCGGTAAAACCCTTTCTGGTATCTCTCTACGATTACACATAATTTTCATGTTAATGGCGGTTCGCAAATGCCAAGGTACAATAACGGTGGAAAACCCCTGAAACACTGACAAACAGAAAAAAACACAAAAAGAATGAATAAAATAAAAAGAAAAGGAAGAGGAGAGGAGAGGAGAGGAATGAAACGGAACATATGTGCACTGACGTGTGCAGCAAAGCGGAAATCTAACCGACATACCAAACCGAAAAACACACATAGAAGTGGAACTTAATGGAACATTGTTTCCTGGGGTCCTTCAGACATTCAAATGCTCTGCAAAAGGTACAGTTTGTTCTTACTTTGGACATGCCATGCTCGGATTGACGGGAGTTATATTACGGAATGAAATTTCTTTCCATTTGCATTTTTACCAATAAATAATATTTGTTTTATTACGTATGTGCGTTATGCCTAAATTGAATTTACCTTAAACTACATTCATACACACGTATGCATTTTATGTTTCCCTTCTTTTTATTAGTTTACACACTGGGTGGGCATAAGGAAGCAATACATCCCAATATCCGTGTCTTGATTCCACTCGCCCGCACCACAACAAAGTGGAAAGCTTTAAAACCGTGGCGCAGATTATATGGCCGGACTAAATCTCATGACGAAACCCATAGTATCCCTGCACGAGGCTATAAAAAAAGGGAAGAGCAAATGAAATGGCCGACGGCCCAGTGTCTGGCAACGAGTTTGGGACTCCTCCGCACGGGCTCAGCCCCAGGTGTGTGTGCTGCGGCCTACACAGCCCAAAAGGACTGACATTTGTTTGTTTTTCTTCTTCTATTTTTTTTTTTACAACGCTCGGAAACGGATGCGGATACGGATGCGGATGTCTACCATAAACGAGCTCATTAGTAGGCACAATGTGCCGTGGCTAATGTGCTTCAATAGCTACCAAGAGCAGAGCACATTCCACCGGCATTCCACGGCGCTGCGATGGACTACTTAAAGTTAAACTTTTATTTTTTGGCCACAAGGAAATTGGGCAGGCGCACCATTAAAACAAACTTTACAGCAGTTTTAAAGTCGTAAACACCCAATGAAATTTTAATGTTACCCAGACAGGTTGCGGCCACGCCCCCAACACATTAAAGAGATACAATAAAAAAATACAGAATCGGACGCCACGATTCTCGCATCGACATCTCGCATTAAAGTTGAAACCGCAAGGAAGAGGATCGCAACTTTGTGTACCCTTGAAGAGTTCCATATTAGTTAGGTAAATAAATTTGTGTCTGACTGATACATAAATGTCCTTAAATACTCACGCTCTGGGTAACTACAGTGTCGCACACAACGAGTCTCGTATCCTGTTTAAAGTTGAAAAACTCTTACGTTATTGATTTTGCGCTGGCTTTTTTATTTTTATTTGTTTTTTGTGCAGCTTTTTTCGTTTGATTTTGGACAGTTTAATGCTCCATTGAATGTTCCTGTAGATGTAGATTCCCCCCATGGGATGTCCATGTTTATGCCTCACTGGATGGTGTGTCTCTCTCCTACATGGCTCTTGGTGTCTCTCCCTCCCTCAGTCTGTGTTCATGAGGAGGATGGCTGGCACATGAGTATCCGTTGCCTACTAGTACCACGATTGGCAACTTTGTTTGGCAATAGTGTCTCCTCGCTGTCTCTTTTCCTGTAGGGATTTCCACTGGGTAGAGCACAGGACACTTTCCTCTATTTCTCTCTGGGCTGCTGCTTGAAATGTCAATTGCGCTTATTAAGGGAAAAGTTCACTGCGCCCTAAGTGAGATTGGGTTTTAGAGATGGAACGTGATTGGAACATCGGTGAGTAAATGGAATTCTCTACAGATATTACTTCTATTTCGGAAACCACTCTTTAAACTTTATTTGTTACTTTCGAAACAAATCAAACTCAAGGAGAACCTGTCAAAGTTTCTCGACTCACGAAGCCATACCTAATTAACAGGGATAGATAGTTTGGAGTGGATGGTGAACTGAAGCTGTCGCCAGTTGTTGAACAACAAAAGTGGAAAACATGCCGCCACTTGGCAGAGGTGTTCAAAGTGCTTCAAGAGTGTCTCTCTGTGTGCGTGTGTGTGCGTGTGTGTGTGGTTTGAGCCAGGAGAAACTCCTCCTAAGCTCCTTTCGATGAGCCAAATGCTGACACTGCAGCTGTGTGACATAACCAACTAAGATGTTTGCTTGTCTACTAATGACAGCACATACAGCAGACTGTTGTTTGTCGTCGTAGAGTTAATTCCTTCTGGGCAAAAGCATTTAGGCAATCAAATTAGTCTAAGCCAAAAGCTTAAAGCCAACTAATAGACACGGACACAAGCATAGATATACACAGACAGAGAAACAGGCGCCAGCTGGGCCGAAAGTCGCATCAATTTAGACCAGCTACTGGCAGGCTGTGTCTCTCTTCCTTTCTCAACGTGATTTATCTGCTCGACCAACTGGCAACTGTGTGATTGAGAGCTGGCCATCTTACGCCTGGAAG